TTAACAGAAACATGAGTATTAAATATGATAAAATTTCATGAGCCATTTGTATTTTTTCAAATCAAGGTTTTAATCAAATACAATTAAGCATCACATTTTTCATTGAGTCTTTGTCAGGTTATATATATTATATTATAATGATTTTATAACTGTTTGCTATGAAAAATCTAAAAAAAAAAACATTGAAAATATCATGAGTATTTTGATCACACTGTATATATTTTCATTTCAACAAAACTACCAGCAGTATGTTTTAATTTATATGTTAACACACAACATTTCTAGTGTGGCCCCATTTGTCATTGAGTATAATTTCCTGTATTTTTTTTTAGCAAAGCCTCACTGTATATTGTTAGGGTGCCATTTTTTAAACATTCTGATGCCCTGAAATCCAAGATTGCCGTCACGATGACTATTATCATTCCATTACCAACAAAAATACAGGAAATGATAAATGTGCCTACCCTACTCTTGCATGTTGCCATTCAAGTTTTAATTCAACAACAATATCAATAAACAAATGGACCAATAGCCTTCCTCCAGGGATCAACCACGGTCAAAATTGTATAGAAAACGAGTTTCAAGTCAACAACAATATCAATAAACAAATAGACCAAAAACCTTCCTCCAGGGATCAACCACGGTCAAAATTGTATAGAAGACGAGTTTAAATTCAACAACAATATCAATAAACAAATAGACCAATAGCCTTCCTCCAGGGATCAACCATGGCCAAAATTGTAGAAGTAATTCCAATAAAGTAGTACAAGGACTTTCAAATGATTCCGAGAAAGAATGCAGTAATAATTCCTAGGATTTGAATGGAATTCCAGTCATTTGTAGTCCAGAATTCTTTGGCAGTTCACCCAAGAAATTACAAGTAATTCCAAAGATATCTAGGGAATTCAGGGATTTTCCAGGAAAATTTGAGATATTCTAAGAAATTTCAAGGAAATCTTGGAATACCAGGTATTCCTAAGGATTCCAGAAAAATTCAAGAAATTTCAGTTGTTCATATACCAGAATTTTACTGCAGTTTGCCCAAGGGATACCAATTCCTAGGAATTCCATAGAAATTCAGGGAATTCCAGGAAATTTCAAGAAACACCTGGAAATTTCTATGAGATACTGGGAATTACAAACAATTTCAGATGTCTGTTCACCATGATTCCACCATGGTTTATCCCTCCACTCTTCTATTAGTATTGAAATATATTTATTATTACCTGGATCCAGTTAACTAGGTATCAGATGTAAGTATTATAACTATAAAACTTGCAAAATTATGCTTATGAAAAGCTTAAATTGCATTATTGCCTCGATTATAGCCTAAAAATTTTATAGCAGGTAAATATGTAGTTGACTATTTCAATATTGTATTCAGCCCTTTGATGAAATTAGGGTACCCAGCTATTGATAAGGTAAAAAAATATCTGAAGAATAAGCTGTATCAAAAGTTGTTGATGCTGCACAATAATTTCACTGTGTTATATATTGGAATATTATTCTAGGGTTAGTAAAATGTTGAGCACCTAAATAGGTAACATTATTGTTTCATTTATATCCTACTATTTACATGCAGATTTTAACTTTTTCATGAAATAAACTTAAAAAAGTTCATCATCTTGCTCAAAATTGCATTGGGAATTGAATTGAGTTCACCAAACATGTGGGAAAAATACTTATGAGAATAATTTGGAATACTAATTTAGAATATATAATTGGATTGGATTAAGTCACTTATCTAATGAAAAATGTTCCCAACAAGATTATTCAATAACAAATTGCATAACAAATATATAAATAATTGTCTTCCCATGTTATGGTAATGATTTGTTAATAAATTGGACAACCAATGTGAAAGGTTCAACAACAAAATTTACATTAAAATTGAATATCATGATGAAGTGATATTTGATAATAGTTGAGTTGAAATTCCAGATATCTTTCAACAAAATATTATTTTCATGTATTCCATACCAGAAGTAATCCTAAAGAATTTCTATCTACAGGGTAGCGCAAAATGTTTATGGTTTGGAATTGTTACAACTCAAGCATTTCAAAACATACAGGGTGTCCACTAAAAGGAGGTCAATCCATTAACCATATATTCCTTGAACAAAAACAATATGAGTTTCTAAATACCATTTTTCATTTTAGCCCTTCATATTCGATACACAGGGTGTCAAAGTTTGAAATTGAAAACTGTTTTTTTCTAATTACTGGCGTATTTAATAAGATATCAATTCCAAAATTGGTACATTACTTCAGCAGAAAGAGTTACATCATGTGAGGAGAACAAAACAGAAAATAACTGTCAAATATTCAAAATACTGGGGGTCAAGTACACACTTACCCCCATATTTTTTTTGTACGTGCGCTAATGACTTCATATCTATTTTTCTCCAAGTGTTCCATCCTTTTTGAGTATTTTCTGTGTCTTGTAAAATTTCGATAAAATTATTTGTTTTTAAGATAATTCAAAAAGTACTGGTTATTGTTTGATGCCTATGTGGCTTATGGTAATATCATAATGTTCACATACTCCTATATTTATTTCGTCGAAACTGAAAGAGGGCGTAACTTTTTAGGTACGAAAAGGTAAATATGAAAATACGGGGAGCTCAGAGCGAATGTATTAAAATAATTTTTATGAAAAAAAAAAAAAAATTCAACATGTCTAAATGAATTGCTCGATATGAATTTTTTGAATACACATGCGAGCCCTTTTGATTGAAGAAAACCTTAGCCTTTGAAAAATATGTGGCTTATGCACAAAATCTTTCATACATCCATAGACAATCCTGATCTGCTATTTATTTCATCAAGTAGCTATTAAAATCATGAATATCATAATTTCACCAAAAATTTCAGAAAATATATTTTTTTTCTGTGACGGGAAAAAAGTTTGGCATTTCATCTCTGTTGGCAGGTTATAAAATGTCACTTTATGAAAATTACTTTTTTCCCGTGGGAAAAAAGTGAGTACTTCTTTCCCGGATATATATCACATATATATACTCTGTTAATGGCTTTTGTTGTGCTATAGTTCCGAAAAATAAGTCAATAATACCGTCTCCGAGAAAGAACTGCAAGTCCTTTTATCTTCCATTCGACTTCGCCGTTTCGTATATTACTAAACAACTACTGAATTCGCAATTTTCCAAAATCAAATCACAAAATTGAACTGACAGAAGTGACATCAGATATTTGATTACTTCAAAAGAATGATGAAGATGTCTATAAAACGCAGGTATCCCTACTGTTAAAAACTTGAAATTTCACGTCGATAATTTTCAGATTTCGAAATAATGTAATATCTTTCCAATATTGATTCGTCCTTCCTTCTGTCACAGAAAAAAATAGTGTATTATACACGGGAAAAATATTAGATTTTAGCTCACGGTTTTTTGTCTCCCTCCGCTACGCGTCGGGAGACAACACAACCTGGAGCTAAAATCTACTACTTTTTTCCCTTGTATAATAAATAACTATTTTTAATTGTTTCCGATTTTATTTCCCCTTCGTTGGCGCCCGACATACCATACGGTGGGGAAGAGGCTCAAAAATATTTTTAAAAAATTCCACACCACCCAAAACCGCTCAAACCGATTTTAATTTTTTTTACAATATTTAATAATCCTCCAAAAGGTTGGATCGTCAATCGACATCTCCCCCTCCCCCATCCTCCTAAAATCATTATTTACCGGAAATTCCAAAAAACATTTTTTTTATTTAACCCCGAAAAAAAATTTCACGCCATTTGATTGGCAAAAAAATTTTATTCCACAGGTGTCTTCACTTTTTTTTTTATTTTTTTTTTGTAAAAATAATTTTAATACATTTGCTCTGAGCACATGGTATTTCCATATTTACCTTCTCATTCGTAAAAAAAATACGCCCTCTTCCAATTTCCACGAAATAAATAGGAGTATGTGAACATTATGAGATTACCATAAGCCACATAGGCATCAAACAATAACCAGTACTTTTCAAATTATCTTAAAAACAAATAATTTTATCGAAATTTTACTTTTACAAAACACACAAAATACTCAAAAAGGATTGAACACTTGGAGAAAAATAGATATGAAGTCATTAGCGCACGTACAAAAAAAAATTGGGGTGTGTACTTGACCCCCAGTATTTGGAATATTTGACAGTTATTTTCTGTTTTTTTCTCCTCACATGATGTAACTCTTTGTTCTGAAATAATGTACCAATTTTGAAATTGATATCTCATTAAATACGCAAGTAATTAGAAAAAAACAGTTTTGAATATCCAACTTTGACACCCTGTATATCGAATATAAATGGTTAAAATGAAAAATGGTATTTAGAAACTCATATTGCTTTTGTTCAAGGAATATATGGTTAATGGATTGACCTCCTAGCGGACACCCTGTATATCAAAGGATAGAGCTGGGAGTCCTTACATGTAGTGATTTTCATTTATTTTGTAGAGTATTGTTCCTGAGGATTTCCTCAATATTGGCAGTGAAATTCAGGGTTTCTACATCAAGGAAGAATAAAAAGCATCTTCAGGTTTTTAGTGATCTGAAAATCTACAAAGTTCTTTTTAACCATTGTATTTTAAGAATTGAACATTGGATTCACTCAATATCTGGAATCATTTATTTAGAATGTGATTTTGGAGGTGAAGACAGGTTAAGGAAGAGAATTGTAGTATTTTTTTCAGATTTCACTTTGAAAATTGATGGGACAAAAAATCCAGAACAAAGTTCAACATTCCTCATGAGTAAAAATATTACATTACACCATATTCATAGGGTTTTGATAGGACTTTGATCTAAAAACACATTTTTACAAATACTGTGTTGAAGACTATTTGAATTTTCAATGTTTAAAGTATTTTACTCTTTAAGTAATTTAAGACTGCCATGAGGATTTTTATTGCAGTATAAAAACATAAAATCTAGAAAAACATTGGATTTGGGGTGACATTTTTTCAAATTTAAATAATATTGAAATTTTCTTTTGGGAAGCTAATAATCAATTGCAAGAAATATTGTTATCTATTTTCAAGATTTCTTGATGTTCAATTCAAATTCGATGGAAAATTGTTATTGATAAATTCTCAATGCCAATTGTTGATTTCATCAAAACAACCATATTCTGGGTGTATCCACCTACTTTTAGGTTTCACCTAACACTAAATGAATCATATTTCTAGTTTTACTTCTCTTGAAATCATAATGGTGGTTAAATGAGGTGAGAAAATGATGAATATTTCTTATTTTTCAAGATATTCCTATTTAAAATGGATTATGTCTAATGTCTATTTCACTTCTGGAGGGGTAACCCAGGTTTTTGACTAACAGAAAATCTCTTGGAAGCTACTGAATCTTTACCTTTCAATTTTGCTACAAAATTAGGTACCCTAGCCCTCAACCCACAATAATAGGGATCCTCATACTGCTTGTTGTCCTTAGATTTTTTCTCCTTACCCCTAGATGACCCAAAAGGTTTGAGCCAATTGTTGGTGATGCTGTCATCATAATCAGGTTTGGGGATATCATGGGGGTAAATATTCTCCCTAGGCGGTAATTTTGGGGGCTTATCACTCCTCCTCTGAGCAAAATTTGGCACCCTAGTACGCAGTCCACAATAGTAGGGATCTTCTTCAAACTTCTTAGGGTCACTTGCTCTCTCCTTGTTGTCCCTTGGGGCAAATGTCTTGAGCTGTCTGCCAGACATGTAGTCATCATAATCTGGCTGAGGGATGTCATGGGGGTACATTTTTTCTCGTGGAGGCAGCTTGGGAGGCTTGTCACTACGTCTCTGTGTCTGCATGAGGAGTTGTTCTCTAGTTGCTGCTACTCCAACTCCACCATATCCAGAACTTCCAAAGTGCCCACTGTCTGTACTTGCTATGCTGTAAGGGTCTTCATCTGGGATAGGGATTCTGGGACGGTTTTTTATGTCCATGACTCTCTGCACAGGGGGCAGCTTGGATTTCAACATGTCCAAGGCTACTATGTTGATGATCAGAACCCAAATAGGACACTCCAGAAGTTCTGGTTCTACCTTTACAAATGCAATAGCACTGAGACACTGACATTCTAATCTTCTCCTATCAGGATAGGCTCTTCTCAATTCTCGATTCACATTGGATTGGAATTTTTTCATGTCAAACAACTTCACAGGTTTTTCTGGTTCTAAAGCACAGTTTGGCAATTTGAGAATTTCATTGCCAATGGCATTTTCTGTTTCATGTGCAGTATTTTTGATGTACACATTGCATTTGGACACTCTCTTAATCAAAACATTACCAGCATCATCCATCTTAATTTTCACACCATGACCAATGTGCCTTTTATATTCCTCAGTTTTCTGGTCACGCATTGGATTTTCAAAACCTAATAGTCCTATTCTGAACCCATCAAATCCATCATCAGAATCATTCACTGTGAGGACTGGGGCCCTAGCATAAGCTTTAGCAACCCTGCGATTTCTTTCCAAAACAATAACTTTGGCCCATATTTCGTCATCTATCTGGGTCCATTTGTTCAGCACTTCTTGTATGTGGTCCCTATACAGTTTCTCTTTTTGATACCAGACATCCTCTTCATCTTCAGGGGGTTGATACATGGAATCCGAATGCAGATCGTCTCGCGACCTTGACAGAATTTTTCGACGGGATACCATAACTTAAGGCGTTTTTGCTATTGAAAATTCCAACAGGACCAAAATATTTCACAAGTGTAGGTGGAACAAGTATAATAATGATGTGACAATTTGGCTTTTCACTAAGAAGTATCCATCCAGAATAAGGCACAATGACAAACACAATCACAAAACCAAGTTTTCACTTTTGAACGGCAATATGGATCGAATCAAATAGTTCTGTAGAAGATATTAGAAAGTTGAATACTTTCCAATCTCTAGAAGGCCATCGTCATAGACGTAACAAGGCCGCCCTGCTGCATTCACTTTTAGCTCACACTTCACTTCAGTGTCTTTTCTACTTTACTGTCAATATTTATACTCTTCTTTTTTTTAAGCCTCTAAAACATTGCTAGACAGCAGAGCTCGAAATGTACAACGAACTATACACGCAGTGTTGCCAACATGGAAACTGTGAAATTCCCACATTTCCTGAGAAAATTTAGCGTAATTTCCCGCCACATTCAAATTCATTGTATAATCTCTCAAGAAATTTATTTCGTGATATAATGATACGTATAATCTATCGAAATAAAGAGAAGTTATTATAGTCCAATAAATGAAGGAGGAAAAAAAGGCAAAGTTAACGTTAATTACGCACTATTTTCATCTTCCGGTTGGAAATAGCTTTTAGTACCTCATTGAACATGAGACAAAGTTTCACTGGAAAACGCGTGCGATGGCGGAGAAAATGGCCCCAAAAGACCAGGAAAATAGGTTTTCAGCCAATATCTCCTAAAATATGGCAGGTAGAGATTTTCGGTTCAGATAAAAATTGAAGTTCAAGTAATTCACTACAAAAATGGTCCCTATCATTTTTCTCGAAAATTGCCCGGTTTCGAGAAAAACGGCACGATGCGCACCTCGAATAATGAGCTTGTGTTGTATGCCGGAGAGCACAGTCCGTGTATTTACACATCGGCGGGGGGACAAATTATTCAATAACTTTGTTAAAAATGCATATTTCCTGATGATTCAGAGTTCATGTGAAAGAGGAATTCTGCTGCTAAATATCATACCCTGCGTGGCCGCATGGTTTGTAGCAGATGACCCGAGCGCCACGTAGAGCACACACGCGGCGAACGACGGAGGAGCGAAAGTAATAAATTATAGCGTGTACACATTTAGATATACTGTTTTTTTCCCGGGATATCAAAGGTATGACTTATATACATCGATGGAAAGGTGGGAATTCCCCGGTTACACTAGTAAAGGTGTTAAAATGTTAGAAATAAAGAGCACGGAGAAAAAAAAACCACCGAAAAAAAAAGTACGTTTCTTCCTTGACCCCGCTTTTTCTAATTTTATTGAAAAATGGACGACTTCGTCTAAAAAAGTAATTGCACAATCGAAAAGTAGACCTTCTTAGCTTTCAAATGATGTATCATAGAAACCAATCGGATAATGTATAAATTTTTGATTCATGGTTGTTCGCAAAATTTCCCCGCGCTTCAAAAACAGCAAAAAATTTGGATTCAATAAACAAAGATTAAATGAAAATTTAAAAAAATTAGGGTATACAAATTTCAGGGATGACAAAGGACCTTATGAGGACCCATAATCAAGAAAATTCTGAGTGGATTAGTGCAATACAAAAAAAAAATAGGAACAAATTCCTGGCGACGTCAAAATTGACCGGGAGCAGAAAGTTTGACCCATATGTTCCGATATGGCCAAAAGAGTCAAGCGTGACTCAATTCACAGAGCATGATAGCAGCAAAATTCCTCTTTCACATGAACTTTGAATCATGAGAAAATATGCATTTTTAACAAAGTTATTGAATAATTTGTCCCCCCGCCGATGTGTAAATACACGGACTGTGCTCTCCGGCATACAACAGAAGCTCCTTATTCGAGGTGCGCTTCGTGCCGTTTTTCTCGAAACCGGGCAAATTTTCGAGAAAAATGATGGGGACCATTTTTGTAGAAAATTAACTGAACTTCAATTTTTATTTGAACCGAAAATCTCTAACTGCCATATTTTAGGAGATATTGGCTGAAAACCTATTTTTCTGGTCTTTTGGGGCCATTTTGTCCGCCATCGCACGCGTTTTCCAGTCAAACTTTGTCTCATGTTTAATGAGGTACCAAAAGCTACTTCCAACCGGAAGATGAAAATAGTGCGTAATTAATGTTAACTTTTTCCCTTTATTTATTGGACTATTAGGTAAACTTTGCACTTATCATGCGATGGTTTTTTTTTTCGATTTTTTTTTTGGTACTTACGTAGTTTTGTCTGAAAACACGAATTTGATCATGAAAATGTGAACAAACCACTATTTATCGAGATACTTCAAGAAAAAGTTCGAAATTTTGCCTTCTTTTCCCCCTTATTGTGTTGGATGCATTTACAGGCCGGTACTTTGCTCTTTTAGTTTTGTCATTGGACACTTTATATACTCATGATAAACTGTACTTCAATGACACATTTTAAGAAGATGGAACATTCAACAGGAAATATTATTTTTATGGCGAGTTTTTCCTATTTAGTGAGCAAGCATACCAGATAAAACGGCCATTTAATCCATAGGCAATCCAAATACGAGATGTCAAATGTCAATAGATTGCTTTATTGGAATGACATCACACACGCCATTATTTCAAATGATATTCTTCCTTCTTTTCACTAAACATGATGGATAAATCACAAGAAAATCATATTTCTAGTTGACTCATATAATTAAAAAAATGTATCCAACATTGTGTGATATATACAGGGTGTTTCAGTTTTTTGTAGCAGGACTTCAACAGCTTGAAGAAGAAATTTTTTTTAGATGAAAATCTCAAACAAACATATATGCGTGGGAGCTTCGTTTCCGATACACATGGTGTCAAAGTTTCAGGTTTTTTTTATGTTTTTTGAATTTTCTCCTACAATTTTCGGAATAATTGATTGAAATTTGGTACACCTAATACACTTCAAAAACTCAATATTTGAGGCAATTGAGCGTTTTTTAATACCTACAGGGTCATTGACTTTCAGGGGTCGTACCCAATTTAACCCTGTAGAACTTTTTTGCGTGCCGCCTCTGCTTTCAATGGGACATAGATTCAGATTGTCTCTGCAATTTGGAAACTTTTTGCCCCCATGTATGTTTTTCGAAAACTGTATGGATTTCGAGATAAATAAAAGTGGAATCCGAAACACTTCTAAGGGTACTGATAAATAATAAATAAATAAGATGAATTATTAAAACTCACAACACCTCAACCATCAGAAGCGACAGTCTAGCGATGTATAGCTCCTAGACCGTGTGTCATACATACCTGATATCGAAAGTTTAACCAGTCTCAGTCATACAGGGTGTCCTAGAATTTTCTACAATACATTTTCAGATTTTGCAATCCAGTTAGAGACGTTTTTTTTTTAAATAAAAACATTTTTTCTTTGTTTTTCCTAGTTTTAATTATAATGGTGTTCAAAAAATTCAATCTGATTTTGCAACTGAATTTCATTTGGTATGGAAGCATTCGGTCATTCTATTCTCCAATAAAATGCTTGAGAAATGTGTTCGAGAAATAACGGTTTTATTATACGAATAATTTATTTCTGGCATTTATCTCGAGATCCATACAGTTTTCGAAAAATTTACATATGGAGGCAAAAAGTTTCCAAATTGAAAGGACAATCTGAATCTATGTCCCATTGAGAGCAGATACGGCACGCAAAAAAGTTCTACAGGGTTAAATTGGGTACGACCCCTGAAAGTCTATCACCCTGTAGGTATATTCAAAAACGCTCAATAGCCTTAAATATTTAGTTTTTGCAGTGTGTTAGGTGTACCAAATTTCAATCAATTATTCCGAAAATTGTAGGAGAAAATTGAAAAAACATACAAAAAATCTGAGACTTTGACACCCTGTAAATCGGAAACGAAGCTTCCACGCATATATGTTTGTATGAGATTTTCATCTTGAAAGAATGTCTTCTTCAAGCTGTTGAAGTCCTGCTACAAAAAACTGAAACACCCTGTATATATAAATTGCCCAATGATGGAAAAAGAAGGGCAAATATAATTATTGTTCTAAATGCGATCCAGAAGACAGGCTGAAAAGAAGGTGAAATTTGTAACTTCATAGTGAAATATCCTAATTAATAATGGTTTGTTCACATTTTCATTATCAAATTCGTGTTTTTCAGACAAAAATACGTAAGAACCAAAAAAAAATTTCGAAAAAAAAAACATCGCATGATAAGTGCAAAATTAACAGTTTTTCTAATTTTGATATTTTTTCTGAAGAAAAATTTCAAGATATAAAAATTCACAAACACAAAACAGAGTACACAAACTCACTCTGTTCAGAGCGTAGAATGTTATTCTGTTTCATCTGTGAATCTACGGTTTTATTTTTTTTATTTTTTTCGAGAGAGATAATGTCAATTCTCAATTTCAGAGGATTTTGATTTTTCATGCTCTCTTTTTGGATATTCTACAGATATAATTCAATGTTCGACGTTGCCAATAGCCAGGAAAGTAGTTGTTTTCTGTTGAACATTCAGAATGATATTATGTGCATATCTTTTATATAAAGGAGAATGCAAATTCTCTACTTCAAAAGATTTTGTTTTCAAATTCTTATATCGTGTGTGTTCAATAGATGTAATTCAATGTTTGTCGTGGCATATATAGCCAGGACAGTAGTTGTTTCCTGTTGAATAAACCGAGAAAGAAATAATATTTTCATCACATGGAGAATGCGAATTCTCAATGTATTTCTTTTATATACATATCCATTTTTCGTGTTCATAAGTATATCTGAGAGTATTCTTTTTCAATACTACGGTTTTAGTTACAAATGTTTATAAATTGTCTCGTGACACAAGACATGATTTTGATTTTCGGTGAAATGGCAGTTTATCACCTATTGATATATGTAAGAGATTCATGAATTCCCACTGGATGAGACGATTAAATCATAACAATACAGTTTTGTGCATTTGCAAAACTTCCATTCTGTATTCTTATGGATATACACGCTTTCCCGCATATTTCCCGGAAAATAATTTCTTCCACCAAAAATCCAGCATGTGTTCGGATTTCTCGAAATGCGAGAAAATTCCCGCCATTTGGCAACACTGTATACACGGCAATTCATGACTTGACATATGACATTGACCTAGCAGGATATTATGACAGTGACAAATGTTTTGTGTATTCTGACCATTGACCATTTGACGATTTGACGTTCTTCCTCTTCTTCGCTATTTTGTTGATCTCATTTCTGACAGTAATTTTTGTTCAAAAAAGGGAATACCTACTTGAAAAATAAATAATAATAGAAATAATGATTAATTTACTGAAATGACTGAGATAATTGAATGGAAAAGTTTATAGTGAGGACTAGATGAGGAGAAGTCGTATACACCTTCTATGAACTAATCATTATGCAGATATAACATATGACTACTAGAAGGAAGTCAAGGAAAGCAGTTCACTTGGAGCTAGGCTTCAAAAACATGAAAAACAATACCTATTACGAGAGCTTCTAGTCTTGAATGAATGCCAATCAAATTTCATGCTCAATTATCATAAAAGACTGATATAAAAAGAAAACATTCAGTTCCTGCTTTGAAATATGAGTGCAAAAGGCTGCTATCATTTACAAGTGTTCAAGGAAGATAATACAAATTTAGATTCCTTCAAATGGATTCATGCAGTTTTTGTGGTAGCTGATACGACCAGAAGTCGAGAAACTAAGGTGAGACATTCATTATAATAGGTATCTTTGTATGAAAACTGATGCAATAGTTAAAAGTCCAAGAAACAAAATTTGAGACAAATTTTGAAAACATTATTATGCTCCACATTATGCTAGGTACTTACTCATAAAAATTCTCTAGATAATTCTATTCCTGATTCCTATATTTTGTCATTCATTGAATTTTCATATGACAGATTGATGAAAACAATCAAAAACAATGATGAAAACAAGGTGATGACAAAACAAGCAATGGTAGACTGCTTGATATCTACTTGATATGATATGAAATAGTCCAAGACCCACCTTGTTCAAGACCATGCATTAGAGTTGACATATTATTAAGTCCCAAAACTTCTTAACACATTTTAATAAATTCAAGGATCAAACCACTGGTTGAAAAATGTACAGGTGCCAAATATTCCATAATATTACTAGTAGGTATTTCCTGTTTATTGCTCTTATTTCCTGAATATTTCCTATATTTCCTAGTTAATACCTGTTTTCCCAGAAATATTCCCAAAATATGGCCTACTTCTGAAAATTTTCATTAAAATTGAATTATTTATTTAATTCCCCTTTATAGAGCACCTTGGATTACCCCCAAGAATACCTTAGGGAATATACTATATTCAATATTGTATTCTGGGTCATTTCTTGAAAGTATATTTTGTCACTCTACTCCAATCCACACACTCATCTGCCTTCACCAATGTATATAATTTGATGAATATGTTCAATATAATTATTCCCTACATGAGTGACAGTAAAAATATATGGAAGTCTTGCATATTTGAATATTTTTTGATATCACAAAAACAAATCTATTGAAATATGCAATAATATACTGGGGAATCTTTTGAGAAAATTTACTTTTCCACTTGCCCTGTATGATAATGATGGTTCACATAATATCAAATATCTATATCTAAAGGAAAAAAAAATGAAGAAAACAAAGATATCCAAATTCAAGTGCTTTTGTTCCAAATCACCAACATGCTGGTGATGGAACATTTACAATATATGATGATGCAATGGCACATAACAAAAATATAAAAAGTATAATAAAATGTTCTTTAAGTACATCAATTACAATTAAATAACAAGAAACAACAGTTATATATATATATGGACTTGCACTCATAACTTGTTTAAGGATAGTAATGAACAGAATATAGTTAAAAACAATAGAGAAATATTTACATGTTTTGCTGGTATTTTCTAAAAATTTACTGTATTTCCTTCATATTGCCTGTACTCCATTTCTATTGTCTGTAGTCCCAAAATATTGCTTGTATTGCCTGAATATTTCTTGTATTTCCTGATGAATGCTCATATTTCCAGAAAGGAATTTCCTAAAAATGCCTGTATTTCCTTCCAGATTCCCTTCATATTGCATGTATTGCCAAGGAATTTCTTGTATTGCCAAGGAATTTCTTGTATTGCCAATGTATTTCTTGTATTCCCAAAATATTGTGTGTATTGCCTGAATATTTCTCATATTTCCTGATAATTGACAGTATTTCCAGCAAAATGTACTGGTATTTCCAAAGTGGTTCACCCCTCGGATAAATTATCACTTATAATACCACAAGAGCTTCAATTGTTACTAGAAGGAGGGAGAATTTTCTAAATATTCCTGTTTGAGAAAGAATTTCCAGTTTTTAATTGAAGCTAGAGTGGTATTCCCTAGGAAAATGTAATACCTAAATAAAAAAAAACTCCAGGATAAAATTATGCTAAATAAAAAATAAAATACCAACTTTATTTACACAAAGCAGCTGGTGGTAGTTTAAGCTATTGAACCCCATTAAGATAGCAGAACCGCTTTAGATTTTTCAATTTTTTCTTCGGCCGCCATAATCGAGGCCATAATTTAAGGCTTATTTAAGGCTAATTTTTTACCCTATAGCCGAATTTATTAATCTTCCATTTATGCAAGAAAACATGGGTTCTGCTAGCTTGATGTTGAGATAGCAGAACCACTTTGTGAATGAAAGTTCAATTACAAAAAAAATTATACCATAATTCAAGGCTAATTTAAGGCTCTCACCCTAGCCTATTGCTGATTTTATGGCAAATTGTTAATGGGTTTTGCTAGCTTAACCATTAAGCTAGCAGCAGTAGCTAGAAGTAATACAAGAATATTGAGTACACCATAATTTGAGGCTAATTTAGGGCTCTTTATTGAACCTATTTTCGATTTTTTTTATCATTTTAGGCAAAAATTTTCCTAAATCCAACATGAACATGACAGTACAATAGGAAAAAAAGTTTCATCACAAAACGAATTATACCATAATTTAAGGCTAATTGAAGGCTCTTATACCAGCCTATTGCCCATTTTTTGGTTCATTGTTTTGAAAAAATCTCAAACTCAAATAGAAGAAATATGAGGATATTGAGTACACCATAATTTAAGACTATACTGAGGCTCTTTGTTGAGCCTATCATCGATTTTTTTACTTGTTCTTTTAGTTATCATTCTTTGAAAAAAAATTCCCAAATCCAACATGAACATGACAAACCAATAGCAAACCAAAAAAAAGTTCTATCACAAAACGAACTTTATCATAATTAAGGTAAATGGAAGGCTCTTATCCTATCCTATTTCCAATTTTTTTTTCAAATCATGGGTTTTTCTAGCTCAACCACTAAGTGAGCCATTGAGCTAGCTCAACCAAATCTCAAATAGAAGGAATATAAGGATATTGAGTACACCATAATTCAAGGCTATTTCAAGGCTCTTTGTTGAGCCTATCATCGATTTTTTTGTATATAATTTTTGCAAAAATTTTCTCGAATCCAACATGTACAGTGTGTCCAGTTTTCGATTCTTTTGGGTGATATCTCGGTTATCTTTCGAGATAGAACCTTGTGGTTCTCGCAGTCCTGTGCCACTTTTTTGTGAAACTCAAGATGGCCTAATCAGATTTTCCATAACTGTTTGCGTTTATGAGATACAGGGTGATTTTGAAAATTTATACTTTTTGGACCTCCTTTATATCTACGAAGTTTCTCAGGAAAAATGTCAAATTGAAATCTCATCCCATAGAAAATTTTGCGCAGAATCCAGTAGCGCACTCAATTTTTTTTTTCGGGGTATGGTTTTGGAGATACAACTCAAACTTATGATTTTTCAAATGGAACAACCTGTATTTTATAAGTTCATTAAATTCCTTATTTTTGTCCCATCAAAATGAAATAGGATGTATAAATCTAAAATTTCCAAAAATGGTCCAAAATCTCTAAAACATTGAATTTTCATAGTGGGCCATGGATTCCTCATTTGAAAAAAGTTCCAATTGTAGGAATATTTCATTTAATTCTTCCATGAGAAGGGCAAAAACAATTCCAACACTAGTTAACTAAGAAAACACAAACATCAGGTACCTGATAGCAACAAATAAATAGTAATAAAAAGTTCATAATATAGAATAAGCACCTGATTAAATATTCACTAACACTATTGAATTTCGAGATTAATCAGTAACTCATACATGGAATTGTTCAAATTGATGTCCATTTTCCGTTACACACTTTCCACTAAATCATTAAAGGATCTCCTGGAAAACTGCCTCTGTTGTTGCACGAAGTTCTTCAAGATTGTTATGTCCCTTACTGCATCAAGACGTATAAACGAGCGTATAAAGAAACTGTGTCAATTGTATGTTATGGAAAATGGACATCAATTTGAAAAATTCAATGAATAATTTATTGAATGATTCCGAAAATCAACTGTTTTTGTAAATATTCATCATTATGTACTTTTTATTACTATTTATTTGTTGCTATCAGGTACCTAATTTTTGTGTTATCTTAGTTAATTAGTGTTGGTATTGATTTTGTCATCTTTATGGAGAAATCAAAATAAATATTCCTTCAATTGGAACTTTTTGATATGAAAAATCCATAGCCCATCACTATTAAAATTCAATGTTTTAGTGATTTTAGAGTATTTTCGAAAATTTTATATCCATATAATTATTATATATTATTTTGGAGGGAAAAAAATGATAAATTTTATGAGCTCATAAAATACAGGGTGTTCTGTTTAAGAAATTATAAGTTAAATTCTGAGTCCGCCACTGGATTCTGCGTAAAATTCTCTATAGGATGAGATTTTAATTCGACATTTTTGCTGAGAAACTTCGTAAATACAGGGTGTTCCACAGGTAAAGGGAAATATTTCAGTGGTACATAGGGGTCACCAAGGTGGTTCTGAAAATACCATATTTGATAGGTCTTAGAGTCTTCATAACGGAGATACAGGGCGATTTATCGATTTCGAGTAATTATTCATTCCTCTATAAGTATTGAACTACCCGGTATATTTTCCTCAAGTTTGGTATGGATCTTGAACTTGGCACGTTGAATTTAGTCACCTATCGTGCGGAGCGAAAATCCAGGTTCGGCTTCAGGAAAAATTTACATTTATTCGAAATATTAAAATAACACACTGTATGTAATAATTGACAGAGTTCATCAAAGGAATCGTGAAGAGGAGGAAAAACTGAACTGGATTTGATGCTTTTTTTTTTCGCCACCAATTCTCATCGTAACAATCATAAACAGAAAGCTAAAAGTATGTCAATTTGAAGAGTGTTAAAATTATGAAACCACTTTCAATTATGATTATTTGATATATTCTTGTTAAATGATCGTTCGAAAGAACTTATTAGGTCTCACAGTTTACATAACAGAGATACAGGGTGAACTATCGGTTTCGAATAATTATTCACTCGTCCATAAGTATTGAACTACTCATCGCAGTAATATTTTCTCAAATTTGGTATCTAGCTTACTTGGGACGATGGATTCATTGACCTATCAGGCAGAATGGAAATACAGGTTCAGCTTCAGGAAAAGTCTCATAGTCTTTATGAAGGAGATACAGGGTGAATAATCGGATTATAATTATTTGGTATTATTTCCATTCCGCCTGATACGTTAATGATACTACTTATGGACGAGTGAACGATTATTCAAAACCGATAATTCACCCTGTATCTCCGTTATGAAGATTGTGAGACTGAGTAAGTTCTTCAGAGCGATTTTTTGACTGAAATATATCGATTAATCATAATTGACACTGATTCCATAATATCAATAGTCATCAAATTGACATACTTTCAACTTTATGTTTATGATTGTTACTATGAGAATTGGTGGCGGGAAAACAAAAAGCATAAAACCCAATTCAGTTTTTTCTCCTCTTCACAATTCTTTTGATGTACTGTGTTAATTATTAAATACAGTGTGTTATTTTAATATTTCGAATAAATGTAAATTTTTCCTGAAGCCGAACCTGGATTTTCACTCCGCCCGATAGGTGAATGAATTTAACGTCCCAAGTATAAGCTCCTCACCAAATTTGGGAAAAATATACGGGGTAGGTCAATACATATAGACAAATGAATAATTATTCGAAATCGATAAATCGCCCTGTATCTCCGTTATGAAGACTCTAAGACCTATCAAATATGGTATTTTAAGAACCACCTTGGTAACCCCTATCTACCATTGAAATATTTCCCTTTACCTGTGAAACACCCTGTATAGAGGGGTCCAAAAAGTTTGAATTTTGAAAATGACCCTGTATCTCATAAGCGGAAACAGATATGCAAAATCTGATTAAACCATCTTGAGTTTCACAAAAAAGTGGCACAGGACTGCGAAAACCATAAGGTATCTCGAGAGATAACTGAGATATCACGCAAAAGCATCAAAAACTGGACACACTGTTCATGACAAACCAATGGCAAACCAAAAAGAGTTCAATCAGGAAGCTAATTATACCATACCTTTTTGCACATTCTTAAATGAAAATCATGGGTTTTGCTAGCTTAACCGTCAAGCTAGCAGAACCAAATCTCAAATAGAAGGAATATAAAAATATTGAATACACTATAATTTGAGGCTAATTTAAGACTCTTTATCGAACCTATTATCGATTTTATTGTTAATCATCTACAAAATTTTTCCCAAATCTAACATGACAATATAATAGCAAACCAAAAAAAGTTCACTCAAGAAAGGAAAGTTTCAACCAAATCGTCATGCAGGCCTGTACTATTTTCTGCTTTTCAGGCTTCTGAATGATTCAATTGAAGAAGGAATCAAATCAAGGTGAAGATGAAGGTTGGGACTAGAGTCGGGTTATCATACGGAGTGGAAACTCATTCATTAATAGAAGAAACAGATTTCTGAAAAACGTAAACATTGAAAATATTTTGTCTCAAATTGAGATATTTTTGATCTCAGTACATTTGTTGGAAATTCGGCGAGGTGTCACTAAAATATCAGCTCCTGAAATGTTTTCATTCCGCCACAGCTACAAAAACGATTATTCTGTCAACAAAATATCCATCCATCTCAGCTGATCTCGGTAATCTCCGTTTCTTGAAAGAATATTATGCAGGAAACTAGGATATGGTAGTTCAGAAACAATGATGATATCTGTATACCAATACCATTCTGTAGAATTAAGAAAACACAAAATTCATATAGATATATCAGTGCTAAGCTCTATAATGCCCTACCACACAGCTTATTCGGTACCAATTAAAGAAAAAAATACGTGATATACTGATGTTACATTGTCTTTATTCAGTTGAAGAGTTTCTCCTCCACATGCCCTACTGTACATGCGAGTTCGATGTTGATATTTCAACCATGGATTTTTTCTCGTGTGTCATGTTTTACTTTTCTTTCTGTTCTTTTAATTTCATTTTATTGTAGAGCGTGTAGGTTTTATTGTGAAGTGTATCTGTGACGAGTGTAAAATTCTTGTAATTTTATATAATAGTTATTTATGTAATAAGGATCATAAAGACGATCATTATGGTACAAGTCGTGAATGTTATCGGGCGAGGCGTAGCCGAGTCCGATAACACGGCGTGTGCCATAATGATTGTTTATGATTCGTATTACATACAAAATTTTATCTGATGGCATTTATATCAATACATTTTCGAAAAATTAAAAACTGCATTTTCGACATGTCACAATGACAACTATTTTTAAAGGAGTAAGTATTGTGTAGTTTCAAATATTAGTAGGTGAGTGAGCTGTGCTTTGCCATTATATTAATATTACAAATTGTAGTAATTGTTCTTTTACCATTTATTATAAATAGTTTTGTACATAGTTATGCATTTTGAATAAACTTTTTTGATCAAACTATTACATGTTTTCCTTATAGAATTTCATTATGGTACTTAGTACCATAATGAATTCATTATGGTACTTAGTCCCATAATGAATTCATTATGGTACTTAGTCCCATAATGAGCTTCCTTATGTCATCAAAATTGAGTGACATAACGTTGTCATTATGACATGCCATCAGATAAAATAAATTATCATTATCATTATCACTACCTGATAAATGGCTATGTTCGAAATGGCAGACAGCGGCACAGAGGCATGGTACATTGTATTGCCAGCAGATGACACTTAGGGTAGATAATGAAATCAACCCCGTTTATACCGTTGCCAATGTTACACACACTACTCGGACATATTATAAAATCTAGGCGACGTGATAATATATACACACAAGCCCCCTTTTTCGGAATTTCAAAATACACATGGATATAGTAGTTGTTTTTTCTGTGAACGTGTTTCTCTTACAATACATGACAATGTGTATATCTCACAATATTTTTTCGGGCAAGAATTAACCCCACAGACCCTCTTTTTCGGAATTTCGAAAAAATATCATAACTTTTTCAAAATACAGGTGGATGGGAGTTTTTTTCTATGAACGTGTTCCTCCATTGGTACTCAATAATCTGTATATCTCACTATATTTTGTCGGGCAAGAACAACCCCACAGGCCTTTCTTGGAATTTGAAAAAAATAAATCATAACTTTTCCAAAACACACACGGATGGGAGTTTTTTCTATGAACGTTTTTCTCTAATGGTACTTTATAAGGTGTATATCTCACAATATTTTGTCGGGCTAGAATTAACCCCACAGGCCCCCTTCTTCAAGTACCATTAGAGGAACAAATTCATGGAAAAATACTCCCATCCACATGTATTTTGAAAAAGTTTTGATTTTTCTTCGAAATTCCGAAAAAGTTAATTCTTGCCATACAAATTTTTGTGAGATATGCAGATTATTAAGGGCTCTTAAAGGTATACATTGATGGTAAATAGTTTCACGGTAATATTGTGGAGGTTTTAGTAATTTCATGGCAGTCATGAATATAAATTAGTAATAAACGACCATTGGTGGTATGGCGCGCGCCTGGACTATTTGGCGAAGTCGTGGCTGGAACTCGTGGCTGGTTTCACACTGATTCTACTAGCTATATTCTTCATCACCAGCTATTGTCAGACTTCAAATTCACACTAGATTCAGAAAGTACGTCACAGTTCGCCGTCACGAAAATCAAAAATAAAACCGACTTGGACTTTATCGAGAACTTATTTCATCAAAATTAATCTGAATCGAACTTCTCCATTGTAATGTCATTAAAAAATACTCCCAATTTTTTTTTAAAGCTGATATCTCATTTTGAGATCCAGCGAGTTTTATCTATCAACAAAAAAACATGAAATGACACTACATGTTCATTGTTTTATTTTCAGATTTGCAATGCTTATTGTCGGACATGTCGGAAGAGAGGCCCTTTTTTACATGCGTGTCTCGAATGTGTTCATTTCGGTTGTCACAAGCATATCCGTGAACACATGAAGTACCAGAAGCATACGATTTCGTTAGACCTGGTGTATGGCCAAATACATTGTTCTTGCTGTGATGACTATGTTTATGATGCAGAAATTGATGAAATCACGATGGAGAACAAAATGCGATCTGTGACATTCAAAAAGAGGTTTGTTTCAAAATAAAATCGAGGTTGTCGAGAAGACTTCCAGTCTTTCTCTTTATTCAACTTGGTCACTTCACTCTGAGCCATTATGGACTTTTACGAATGATAAATTTGAAATGACAAGTTTGATATCAATTTCCTCTTGTACCCTTTGGTCGCTTCCGATATTTTTTGTGAGTTGTATCTTGATTCTCCACTAAATAAATCTGACACCATTTTCAAACGATTCAAATTCATATTATAAACAGGAAGGGAAAGTACTTTTTATTCAAACAATACAATAATTATCAGAATCATTTGACCAAAAGTCGCTCCCAATCAGCATCCAAGTGCTGGTCCCCGAACAAAGTACAAAAAATACATATAGGTCGCGTGCACGATGACCGACCCTAGAGCTAAAATATTGAAACACAACCTTTTATTTTGGCATACGAATCGTGTTTTTTGCGATATTCATTAATTAAAGCATATCTTCTCATTGTGCTGTTGTACGATACTCAAAAAATGCAGCGAGAGACGGAGGAATATGATTTTTCAGGTAAATAGTAATCTCACATAGTTTTCATTATGAAATTTTGTCATTTCTTATTAAAATTCCTTCTGTCACTTCTGCATTAGAAGCTAATACTGCTAATAGATTGAAAATGTCTACAACACACACGATCATATTTCGTCAGCATGTCAGACCAGTCCTCCCGTTTGATTGCATGAATCCAATCTTCTTGCATTCTATTAAAAATTTCACGAGTATTTCTATTAGCTCCTATTGCAGAAGGAATTCCGATGAGAAATCAGGGAAATTACCAATTTTCAAACTGAAAACTATATGTGAGTGACTATAGTAGGTTCTTACTTTCAAATCATAATGTACCAACCGGATTCCTTCGTCTCTCGCTGCATTTTTTGTGCATTGTACAACAGCACAATATGATGGCAAGCGTGAATGAATAAATAGCTGAAAAACATGATTCGTATGCCAAAATATTTGTGAAAAACTATTTCAATCATTTGTAAACAAATAAGAAAAGTGAGGTTGTTTCAATATTTCACCTCCAGGATCGGTTATCTGACAGTTCTTGCACGCAACCCATTCAAAACTGACAAGGTCAGAGTCACAATTACTAAAGTACATATTGAAACTTGTGAATTACCTACACATAATAACTACTTAAAATACATTCTTTGTGTCAACTCTGACACATTTAAAATCACCCATTCCTCATAGAAAACTATAAACCATCCTCTCGAACATACATTTTTATTTCATTTTTAAATTGGCTAAATTTAGGAATATCTGTAATATACTGTGGTAGACTGTTGAATGTTTCAATACATTTGTTCAGTGGGCTGTTAAATGCTATTTTTGTTCTTACATTACTAATGTATAAAGTGTTTTGTCTTCTGGTAACATGAAAGTGTATATTGTTCACCATATCTAATTGCAAATCCATTTGAATCGATTATCAATCACTTTGTACAAAAATGTATTTTGCTCAATTTTTATGAATTAATTGAATTGTCGAAAAAATAAATGAATCTTCCCAATGACAAAATTCTACAATCAGTAATTTCACGAGAAAAACTGACATAAAATAGTATATTGTTTAACGAGCACGGAATGATTGTGATTTTCTACGAGAATGAAGTTTGCAGCATAAGCCATAGGTGAATGAAACACAACCTCACTTTTCTTATTTGTTTACAAATAATTGAAATAGTTTTTCACACTTATTTTGGCATATGAATCGTGTTTTTCGGCTATTCATTAATTCAAGCATGCATCACATTGTGCTGTTGTACAATCTACAAAAAATGCAGCGAGAGACGAAAGAATCCGATTTTTCAGGTAGGTACATTGTGATCTAAAAATACTTTAGGTAGTCACTCACATATTTCATTTTGAAATGTTGTCATTCCTCATTGGAATTCCTTCTGCAATAGGAGCTAATAGAAATACTCGTGAAGTTTCTAAAAGAAGGTGAGAAGACTGGATTCAAAAAATCAAACGGGAGGACTGGTCTGACATGCTGACGAAATATGATCGTGTGTTTTGTAGACATTGTCACTCAATTAGCAGTAATAGCTTTTATTGCAGAAGTGACAGAAGGAATTCTAATAAGAAATGACAAAATTGCATGATGAAAACTATGAGGGATCACTATTTACCCCAAAAATCATATTTCTTCGTCTCTTGATGCATTTTTTATGCATTGTACAACAGCACAATGTGATGGCATGCTTGAATTAATTAACAGCCAAAAAACACTAATCGTTTGCCAAAATATTGTGGAAAACTATTTCAATCCTTTGATTCCTTCGAAAACAGATAAGAAAAGTGGATAAACCGAGAAAGAATTAATATTTTCATCACATGGAGGATGGGAATTCTCGATGTATTTCTTTATATATTTATCCGATTTTTTTTGTGTTCATAAATATTTCTGAGAATATTCCTTTTCAAGAAAAGTGAGGTTGTGTTTCAATGTTCCACAAAGTGAGGTTGTGTTCCAATGTGTTACCTACAGGGTCGGTCATCGTGCACGCGACCTATACCCGATGTTCTCTCAATTTAGGTTATTCGATTGGACATCATGGGATGCTACAGAGGATGAAAGAAACCAGTTGCATCACGGAACGAAAAGGATATGCATAACTCAAGAATCTACCATAGGTCTTCGCGGTTTGTCGAATATGGGTAATACCTGTTATATGAATTGCATTGTCCAGGCGTTGATGCACACACCTCTACTTAGGGATTATTTTTTGACGGAAAATCATAAGTGCAACGGAGTGCCTGGTACGTGTCTGGTATGTGAGGTGTCTAAACTGTTTCAGGTAAGATACTTAAATGTTAGCGGTATTCTTCAATTCATCCACTCCTTGATTTTTTTAAACTCATTATGTTTGATCGAATTGGATTTGTTGCTGTTGTTCTACAAAACCAGTTGCGTATTTCGAATGAACATTTGAAGACATACAGGGTGTAAATTTGAAAACTTCCAATTCGAATATCTCGCGAAAGAAAAAAGTTAGGAAAACGCCGTTTGGCAAAAATGCTAAAGAGTTAAGGGGAACTAGAACCACCATATTTCGGTCAAGGGATGAGTCACCCCGTCGGCGCGACACACCCCAACTTTGAAATGTCAAATGGCACTACCTTTTTTGTGATGCCTCAAATGAACAGTCTCAGTCAGTAGTATTCACCTGTACAAAACTTTTTTTCCACCCACTACAGGGTGTACGAAAAATATAAAGTCGAATAAAATAAAATGAATTGTGTTAAAAGGATATTTTATTTGATCAGATGTTCAAAATGCATTCCATTCCGTTGTGAGCAATAGTATAATCGATGTTCAAATGCCATTCTAACATTTTGGAACACATCACTTGGAATATATCGGCATTCTGCATTTTATTTTATTCGACTTTATGTTTTCCGTTCACCCTGTAGTGGGTGGAAAATAAGTTTTGTACAGGTGAATACTACTGACTGAGACCGTTCATTTGAGGTATCACAAAAGAGGTAGTGCCATTTGACATTTCAAAGATGGAGTGTGTCGCGCCGACGGGGTGACTCATCCCTTTACTGAAGTATGGTGGTTCTAGTTCCCCCTAACTCTGTAGCATTTGTGCCAAATGGCGTTTTCCTAACTTTTTTATTTAGCGAGATATTCGCATTGAAAGTTTTCGAATTTAGACCCTCGAATCAATGTTTTTCGTACACCCGGTAGTGGGTGGAAAAAAATTCTTGTACAGGTGAATACTACTGACTGAGACCGTTCATTTGAGGTATCACAAAAGAGGTAGTGCCATTTGACATTTCAAAGTTGGGGTGTGTTGCGCTGACAGGGTGACTCATCCCTTCACTGAAATATGGTGGTTGTAGTTCCCCTTAACTCTTTAGCATTTTTGCCAAGCGGCGTTTTTCTAACTTTTTTATTTCGCGAGATATTCGCATTGAAAGTTTTCAAATTTACACCCTGTATACATATGTGTTCATATAAAGGGCATGGCAAATATCAAAAATTAACTTCGCAAAGTTCAAAGTCATTTCAACAAATGTTCATAAATTAACGAAATTGGTAGATAACGAGAGAAAAACAACAACTTTCCCGAAATCTATGCAATAATTCGTAGATGAATAAAATGGCAAGTGTTTCCTTCCTAAATGCCGAGCTGCGCCTTTCGAGCTTTTGGCTCTTATCAGTGCAGGGCTGTCCCAGATAGCATTCTTGACCGCTATCTGGTGCGAACCTGACCGTTACCACCGATACAACAAGGCCAGCAGACTCTGACGTAAACAGCTCGTGACGTCGCCAAGCGAGGCCAGTGTTTTATTTTATCGCTTGTCGACTAACGCGTCAGTTCGTGTTAATTCATCGGTGATTCACGTATGTTTTTGAAACGGTCCCGAATTCTTTTGTTGTTTATTATTCATCAAAATAATTGGCGGAAAAATTACTGTTTTGTGAAATATTTTGTGTTGTGATCGGCGAAATAACAATGCCTTTCAAGTGTTGTGTTCCCTTTTGTCGGGGGAATTATGTGGGTGGTTCAAAAGTTCATGCTTTTAGTTTCCCGTTGGACGAGGAGCTCTCGAAAATGTGGGTAAGTATATGCAATTCACCGCGAGGATTTTACTCCATCTAAGTATCTAAGTTCAGTAGTAAACAGAGCTTAATTTATAATGATGAATTAATAATAGGAGACAATTACTCTCTCATAAAAAGTATAAGTAGAGGAAAAATAGAAAAGCTTTGATTGTGCAGTTAGTTTTGTATTCCGTATATTATAGTCAACAAAATCATCTCTGAATTCGAGGAAATTTTCTTGAATGTTCATAATAAACGGGCATTTTTAATTCTCATTCTCAAATTTCTTTCTGAAAACGGTCATTTACCTCGTGGCAATGAATGCAGAATTCATTCCAGTGATCAAATTGCAACTATCATATTAACATGAACTACAAACACTCTACTCACATAAGGTAAATCTGCATTTATCTAGATATTTATCATGAAAATATTTGACTAAAAAGTTCCAAATTTCACCTTCTTTTTCACCTGTCTTCTGGATGGCATTTAGAACCAATTTCCCTTCTTTTTTCATCATATTGGACAATTTATATATAATTCAACTATAAATATGATTTTCTTGAGATTAATCCATATTTAGTGAAAAGAAGGAAGAATATCATTCAAAATAATGGCGTGTGTAATGTCATTCTAAAGCAATCTATTGACATTTGACATCTCGTATTTTGATTGACTATTGATTAAATTGTCGTCATCTGGAATGCTTGTTCACTAAATATGAAAAACTCGCCATAAAAATCATATTTCCTGTTGAATTTTCTATATGAAAAGGTGCCATCGAAGTACATCATGAGTATATAAAGTGTCCAATGACAAAATAAGAGCAAGTAGCTCCAAATGCCCCCAACATAAGGGGAGAAAGAAGGCGAAATTTCGAACTTTTTTTTGAAATATCTCAATAAATAGTGGTTTGTTCACATTTTCATTATAAAATTCGGTTTATCAGACAAAAATACGTGAGTACCGAAAAAAATTCTCAAAAAAAAAACCATCGCATGATAAATGCAGTTTCACCCTTAAAAATTACGGTTTCAAGTGTAACGATCCACTTGGGTGAAAAATCCAACAGCAGAAAATTGAAAACACTCACTGGTTATTTTTTCAGGTAATAGGAATTCTCCAAGATAAATATAGGTAATTGTAACAAACGGCATGTCAATCAAAATAAAATACATTTTCCACAATTTTCTTTTGATCAATCTCACGATAAGTTTATGTTCTGCGGGCGCTGTATAAGTAGGTGTGAAGTTTACCCTCACCACAATTTTTGCCAATATATTTAATTCGAATGGGTTGCTGTAGGTGGATATTTGTGTTTTATCCTGGTTTTTGCTTTAAAACTTTTTTTCCATTATAAAATCGAATGGGGTGCGAAGAAGGGCTCAGTTGACGACTGGCATCCTTTTTTAACCGGAAGCCCTTCAAAAAACAGCAAAATCGGCTCAATGATGATCTAAAACTAAAATCGAAATACGCGGTCGCCTTATAGCGCTATAAGCGCTTGTCGTTTCGAGCCGCTGGTTAGGCCTCACTCAGTGACGTCACCCACGGAGCATGCAGGCTTTGTTGTATCGGTGGTAACGACCTGACCCAACGTAAACGCATCCCAGCTTGTATTACCCAATAGGCGTACGGTATACCCGAAAGCAAATTCCCATGAAATGGGGGTGGCTGGTTGCCAGACTGGCATGATCTCAACTAAGGAAAGCCAAAATGCTCAAAGTGGAATGACATGTTGAATTAATTCGCGAAACTCGAAAGTCATTTTCACAAGTGTTCATAAATGAACGAAATTGGTACTTTGAGCAGTTTGGCTTCTTCTCAGTTAAAAATTAACTAGACAAAATTCCGTGGATACTCGTAAGTATATTTGCTGATTTCTTCATTTTCAGGAGTTCTATAGAGGAGCTAGAGTTCCATTAGCTCTGGGCGAGTTGCTACATTTAATATGGATTCATGCCAGACATTTAGCAGGACATAAACAGCAGGATGCCCATGAATTTTTCATAGCCACGCTCAATATCCTGCACAAACATTGTTTAGATACCATGCCGAAACATAATTCTGTTATAAAAACAGAAGAGATGAAGTGCCCTTGCATTATCGATAAAATTTTCACTGGAAGACTTCAAAGTGATCTGGTCTGTCAGAAGTGCAAGTGAGTAAGAAATTACAGCCTCTACACATATAAATCGAATGTCATAATAATTCACCATATTTCTCTAGAAACCTATGTTAATACCATTGACTATTCACACTCATAAGATGAACCATTTTTATGAGATCAGTGAAGCCAGGAATTCTATTCAAAAGGTGGTGGTATCTATGAACGACAAGGGGAACTACTTTTTGTTGAGTATTGAAGGGTAGAGATGGGTAACGCAGAATATATTCTAAGCTTATCGTTAGATGTTTTTAATGCAAAAAGGAATGACGCATCAGAGCCGAATTAAAATATTTTTAAAATTCAACAATCAGAATAACAAAGTTAGTGATTTTCCTGCTTCAGAAAGAAGGATATTCCTAGGTAGTTCAGTAACTTGCAGATAGATGGACTCCAGCATATTCCAATAATATAGAGAAATCGGCCATATTTTGCTGAGTTTTGCTTGCGCCGCCTACGAACCAGCCAAGAACTAGTGTCAAATTTGATAATGATCTTCATTATTCTCAAGAAACATATATGTTTAATGCAGGGAAAATTATGAAAGAGCAATCAGAAAAATTAAAACTAGATAATCAGGTAATCATTTTCAAATCATATACATAGTACATATAATGTTGAATATAAGTTATTGAATTGATTTAGGGTGATATTAGAGAATCAAAGACATGAGTATTTTTTCAGTTCCTTTATTGAATTTCTCAACACTTAATTTTTTCTTCAGTCTGGCAAGTAATTCATCATAGAGAATTGTTCCATTGTATAAAATAGATCTTCTACCCATATCTGATTTGGCTTCTACATTTCACTTGGAGGTGGATAATCCTGTTAGTGTAAATATAATCATAACAATATCTTGCTGATTCCACCAATACGATGCATCTCCACCATAATGAAAATAGAACTATTATAACTAAAATTAATAACTGTGAGTCTAAGATACTATATTTAAACAAAGGGGTTCCTCAAGGATCAGTGTTGGGTCCAATTCTTTATCTATTATACATTCAAAATATTGAAAGAATGAATTCGATAGGAAACTATACCATATATGCAGACGATACAGTGCTTCTATATGAGAATAAAAACCCAGTAGTTCTTGAACATATCATAAATGAGGACTTGAAAAAAATTGAGAAATGGCTTTATTCCAATCTTATAATAATAATAATAAAGCGTCTTTATTCACAATGAGGAAACAATAAATAATTACATATAAATTTTGTGAGTCGAAGTGGGATCAAAGTGAAAGGGCGGAGTGTCAGCTTACGCTGTTTTTAAACTCAACCTTGAAAATACATTTACAATAACCAAAATTATATAGAGAAATACAAAAAGGAGTCTTAGACTATCACGTTTTTGAGAAACAAAATTTTGTATACAAATCAAGCCAACCTATACTATATATAAAGAATCATAGTCTCATATCATGATGAGTGGGCCATATACCGCATAAGAGGAGAACTAGGCATGAAGAAGCGACTTCAGCCTTTTTTTGAAGTTTTTGATCGTGAACGATCTATATTCACTACGATCTATATTCTCTTAATTCTAATAAGACTCAATATATAATTTTTCGTCAAAGAAATAAACAAAATATTGATCTGAATATTAGAATAAAAAATGAACGCTTGAAACAAACTGCCCATACCAAATACCTTGGTATTTGGATTGATGGTAAATTAACATGGGGAAAGCATATTGACATCCTCATAGGAAAAGTATCTCCCATTATTGGTGCTTTGAGAAGATGTCCTAAACTTAGTACATATACATCAAATATCATTCTCTATTCACATATACTCAGTCGAATTAACTATCTCATAAATATTTGGGGATCTTGTTCCAAAAATAGTTTCAACAAAATATCTGTTCTATATAAAAAGGCATTGAAAGTATTGTATCGTCTTCCACATGATACTCCAACGAATCAACAGTATAAGGAAACAAACACATTTTCTTTGGAAGAGCACTTTTTAATCAATACTCTCAAAATTCCCTATTATATCATCAACAAAAAGCTTAAATCAAATTTTATATTAATCAGGAATTCCGAAATTCATGATCATCACACTAGACAATATAACTTGTTTCATCTTGAAGCTGCAAATTCTAATCTTGGGCAAAAAAAGTTTACACATGAGGCGATTTCAAAATTCAATAAATTACCAGATGATATCAAAAACAGCCCAAATATTATGCAATTCAAAAATAAAGTTAAGAAATATATTTATATGCAAAGGAATGATCAAAGCTGAATGACTATGAATTTCCTTTTTTTTTTCTTTTTTTTTTCTCTCACTGTTTTTATGTTTCCCCTTCTTGTTCACTATAATATGACTGTTATTTTGAGATATCTTAATGATATGTAAGTTTTGTTCACTACTTTGTAATTTCAATTATACAACAGTCGATAATACTTCATGAATGATCTTATACCAGGAATAACTGTCTGATCATTCATGTCATTCCTACTAGAAAATTATTTATACCCTATATATTGTATCAATGAAGAAGAAAATGTAATGCAATAACTGAAATAAATAAATAAATAAAAATAGGTTGATGAATTGATGGTGAATTAATTCTTGACTGAAATTAGCAGCAGAATATCCAAATTGCTCTAAGAGTTTGACCTTCATTCTCGAGAATGGTTTCAATTTCCCATTAACATTGGAAACATATTTGAAATATTTATACAAATATCTTCCGTCTGAGATAAGATAAAAGAAGAATGCATTTTCAGTAGACATCCGATATATTTACCTGATGGTTCAATATTTCTGCTTCTAGATAACTATAATTTCATTCAGGCTTATTTCAGAAAGTATCGATTCATACAAGTCCATCAGTTGAATTTGAAATTATGGAAATCAAAATACAGATCTCGCCTTTAAAATTTTCCTTGATTGATCCTACAATTCAGGTTGTTCACCATTAGAATTATGCAACACAACACGTCCTCATCATATTTTATTTCTATGAATTTAGCAACGATTTTTTTTAAATTTTGACATGTTATATGACACTTTCCATAACTGTTTTGAACGTCCTACTTTACGTAACCAGTTGAAGGGCTTGTAAATGGCAACATGATTCGGGCATCGTACGTATTTGCTAGTTATCACCGAAATATGTGAACAGAAGTAACACTGAAATTAATTATGTGCCCAACTGCCTAACGGCGAGTGTTGCTCTTCGTGCCTGCGATGTTGCCAGATGCCATCCTTCCTAAATACTAATATGTACTGATTCGATAAATAATCTGTATAGTGGTCTAGACAGTGAGATAAGGGATGCACCGGATCGGGACCTAAAGGACCCCGCACTAGACTATAGGGAAAATGGCTCTCGATGAAAATCGCTGAATTTTTGGTATGTTGCAGACTTTGATATACTAAACAGATATTCCATTAAACATACCTCAAAAAATGGACAGTTTTTCTGATATTGATCTCCAAATGTCATTTTTTCGAGAAAAAAAAAGTATCTGAAAATGGTTGAATTTCTGGCGTGTTGTAGATAGGAATGAACTGATGAAAAAATCCAATTGACCTAACTTCCAAAAATTTACAGTGTTCTCGATATTGACCTTCAAATGTAATTTTTGCAAGAAAAAAATTCTCTGAAAATGGCTGAATTTCTAGTAGGTTGTAGATAGGAATGAACTGATGGAAAAATTCAATTGACCCAACCTCAAAAAATTGTCTGTTTTTCGATATTGACCTCCAAATATACATATGGAAAAAATATATATTTATATATATATACAGTGTCTTTCAAAAGTATCGGAACGGTCTCATATTTCAGGAACGGCTTGAGAAAAATCTACGAAATTTTCTACAGGGTGATTATCGATGATGTCCGATTCAATGGTGGCATCGGCAATGTTGCCAAAATTACAGTTTTTCAGATATTAGGAGTAACTTTATTTTTTCAAATGGAATACCCTATTTGTTTTCATTGCAATACATTCAGCGATGCCTCATCACTTATGTATCCAAATATCAGATTTTATATTGAAGTGGTTTTCGAAATATGACAACATGGCATTTTTGTTCAAAAGTCTGTGAACCTCCTGATATTTTCAATACGGTTCAAGGAAAATTCATGAAATTTCATACAAGGTGGTTTCTGATGATGCCCGATTCAATGGTGATATCGACAATGTTGCCAAATCAATAGTTTTTAAGATATTTGAACGAAAATGCCATGTTGTCATATTTCGGAAACCACTTCAATTTAAAATTTGATATTTGGAGACACAAGTAATGAGGCGTTGCTGAATGTATTGCAATGAAAACAAATAGGGTATTTCATTTGAAAAAACTGAGTTGCCCTAAATATCTGAAAAACTGTTGATTTGGCAACATTGCCGATATCACCATTGAATCGGGCATCATCAACAACCATCCTGTCGAAGTTTTCATAAATTTTCTCTGAGCCGTTTCTGAAATATGGGACCGTTCCAGAACTTTTTAACGAAAATGCTATGTTGTCATATTTAGAAAATCACGTTAATTACGAATCTGATATTCAGGGACTCAAGTAATTAGGAGGCGCTTAATTAATTGCAATGAAAATAAATAGGGTATTCCATTTGAAAAAATAAAGTTACTCCTAATATCTGAAAAACTGTAAACTTGGCAACATTGCCGATGCCACCATTGAATCAGACATCATCAATAATCACCCTGTAGAAAATTTCGTGGATTTTTCTCAAGCCGTTCCTGAAATATGAGACCGTTCCGATACTTTTGAAAGACACTGTATATATATACATTGAAAAATTAAAATAATGTGTGTGATGGGCAAAAAGACACAAAAAGGACCTGAAAAAAGTTATCAAAATAAAATGAAAACCTGACAAACTTCAAAAATCTCATCACCTATATGAGGATATTCAGGAAAATGAGTTTGAAAATCGACGCTGCAAGATAATTTTTCTACATTCATGCAAAAAACAGAACTTTATTGAACTATATTTAGTGGAAAAAGAAGTTCTTTATTCCACTTAGTGCAATAAAGTTTTTATTGCACTCATCTGTCATTCTACTTCAACGTGCTGTCATCATGACAAACATTTTCTATAATGCAACTGTGGTTATAGAAACGACAGTCAAAAATTAATTCTGACAATTAACAGAATTGTACCTAGTGCCGCACCTCAATAAATCATTTTTTGCTTTTTGCATGAACGTAGAAAAAATGTTGTATGCAACTCGTGCAAAAATTGTTTATTGCACTCGACGTGTTGTCCAACTCGGCCTAACGGCCTCGTCGGACAATTTCACGTCGAATGCAATAACCATTCACTTTTTGCACTTGTTGCATAAATAACTATTAATGGACTAATTTTTCTATTAGGTTTACTCATAGATTTCTGAGGTTGTCCCATAATGAAGGACGAAACATCGATGATGATGATGAAAAATTATTTTCATCTGACTCTCCTGACCTTGAAATTGTACATAATAACATTCTGAAGGTCAACTTTCATACAGTTGTTTGAATACCATTTAGGGGTCAGTAGCAGCAAAACTGTCAATTTTTACCTACTGAATCCAGCCATTTTCATAGATCATTTTTCGGAAACATTAGATTATTAGATTTGGTGGTCAGTGGTCAATTGGATTTTTTCATCAGTTCATTCGTATCTACAACATTCCAGAAATTCAGCCATTTTTTGAAATTTTTTTCTTGAAAAAATTACATTTCAGGTCAATATCGAGAAAACGGTCAATTCTTTTTTTTTTATCGATTGGATCGCACGAAAGGGGACCCCTATAATGTTCAAAGAACATCGTGCGTTCCTAGGGAGGATAGGGACAGGAGGTAGGTATTTGAATTTTTTTTGAATTTTTGGAGATTATATGTTGTTGGGAATACTTCCACAGGCAATGAATTCCAGAGCCTAACCGTTCTATGGATGAAGGAGTCTGGATAAAGTGCTGTTCGACATCTTTCGAGGTTGACGACGAAAGGATGTGCTGACTGGGCTTGTCTAGTTCGTCTGATTGGTATTGCTAGTGAAGGGATGATTGGAAGTAAGGTCAATTGGTTTTTTTCATCAGTTCATTCCCATCTACAACATGCCAAAAATTTAACGATTTTCAGATACTTTTTTTTCCCCGAAAAAATTACATTTGGAAGTCAATATCGAAAACACTATCCATTTTTTGAGGTTAGTTCAATATCTGTTCAATACATCAAAGTCTGCAGCATTCCAAAAATTCAGCGATTTTCATCGAGAGCCATTTTCCCTATAGTTTAGTGAAATGCAAGTGCATGCCTATTTTTATAAGTAAAACATTGAAAATATTGAGGCTGATTTATTTTTACTTCTTTTAAACTAGCTACAGTATGCAGAGTGTTAATTACCATCATTTTTACCTAGATAGAAATTTCTGTTTATTCAAATATTAATTTTTAATCAGCATTAACAAAATTAAAACAATTTTTCTCTTTAAATTGGCGAATAGCAGCCACCTGCCAATAATAAAAAAATTAGAAGAAGTCCGGGAACCCAGCAACTAGTGTCTATTCAGAGCCACTATTTTCAGAAATTGGTAATATATTTATTGATAATAGGTGTAGGCTAAACTCTGAAAATGCCGAAAAGCTCTTATTTTTTCACCATAATCTCAATAAAATGAATTACTTATGTATACTAAGTTTCAAGTATCTCACTCTAATTTTTTATGTAAACTGTATACTAATAAGACTTTTCCATGACAGGGAATTTGGCTGTTATTTCTGCTGTTAATACTGTTTTCAGTTACTATTTATGTTCTGTAATTTTTGGAAAGAAAATAATTATATTTTGTTGAAAAAAAATTGTGAATAATTAACGACTTAACAATAAGTAAGTAGGTACCAATTAAAAATATAAAACTAGAACATTTCCAACAAGTTCCGAAAATTCCGGCCGGAAAGCGATCAGGTCGGAGCGATCCGGCCGGAACGGTAGTTCGGGCCAACTGGCCGGATCGGCCGGATTTAGTGGTGCCGCCGGAATTCCGGTGCATCCCTAAGTGAGATAGTATCGGTGACTCTACCCGATATCTTTATTTCTATTAGGCATTCTTAATTATCATTGTTCCAGTGGCGTTTCGACGAAAATCGACCCGATTTGGGACTTTTCCCTAGACTTGGGGCCGATGACCTTGGGCGGCAGACAGCCATTGTCCCTACATGAGTGTCTGGAACGGTTCACCAGACCGGAACATTTGGGCGACAAAGATATGATATTGTGCTCGAACTGCGAGTCCTATCAGAAGACCACCAAACAGTTCACCATGAAAACTCTGCCCATAGTCGTTAGCATCCATTTGAAGAGGTTCCAGCACATGGTGAAGGTGAGTTGTACGAACGTGAATTTCTTTTATGGGAAAATCATGTCAGATCTATCGCAAAAGCTGCTTCTAATTCGTCTCTATCACAGCGTCAATAGGCACTAGACACCCCTATTATCAGTGCAACCTAAATATCCTAAGTATCTTAACGGTCTAAAAGGTTGGGAGATATTACTTTGATCATTGATCAATCCGTACACCCTGTGTATAGTTTATTGGATATTATTTTCAGTTTTACAAGTGAGTTTCTTTGGCTCGATGAACACCATTTCCTTTTCTCTCATGAATAATCTATTATTTCTTTTTACTGTTTTTTTGCGCGCTAACTTTATGGGTGTACAAGGACATTCATTCTTGCCTGAGTCTCAAGTCATCAACATTTGCGTATCGCACCATCAAAATTATTATATTGTTAGCGATAGAGTTCAAATCACCCTGTAAATTCTTTATTATTATTATTCCCAAGAAACATACATGTTTATAGCAAGGAAAATTATGAAAGAGCAACTAAAAAAAAAAAAAAACAAAAATTAGATAATCAGATAATCATTTTTAAATCATATACATAATACATAAATGAACAAACTCACACCTAGTAGTGCATACCGACGAAGAGCTGCCGTTCGCTTGTGACAACTATCTTTTCTAAAATGTAAAGGTTACAAGGTAAAGTTAGAAAAATAATATTGGTTTGTGTACAGTTTTATGAAATTGTAGAATGTACCCACAAATCCACAAAGGAAAAGCGTTTTAGCAACTTCGTTTCGCTTTTCAGTGAAATTATAACCCCGCTTTTGACATTTTTTAGTAGGTACACCTATATCTTATTTTGAAAGCAGCTGTTAATTTCCAGTTATTTCTTTACCAACTGTGCAGTGTTGGTTGCAAACACATTTTGCTCACGTGGTGTTTTATCATTACACGAATCTAGGAAAAAAGTAATGGAAAAATATCCCTTGGAAAATATCTATCATAGAAAAAAATCCTTCTGGAACAAAAATCCTCGGTGAATATCATCGGGAAATAACATTATAGCCCACTTAGAGCACAAGGATCCCACTTGGTTTTGTGGAAATTTGACATCTTGAAATTTGAACAAATAAACGACAGATCGTTTCTAAAATGTGTGAGCTTGGATAAACAAGCATGCTCTATCCGTATATAACACTTTCAACAATATAGTGTTGCCGCTTATATCAGAAAGAAGTAGCTCCTTTGTTATTTCGAATGGAACGCCCCATATATTATGTCATTTTTCGAATTCTTATAAGATTCCTAAAAAGTTTTTTTCTACAAGCGTGCGTGATTCACCCTATACCCGCACGCAATTTTGTTTGGGAAGTATCATTTTCCCGCAACAGTGTGGGAAATTTTTTCCCGCACTAGTGCGGGAAAACAAAGATGATAAAATCGCTGATTATATAAGTGGTTGGTGATGGAATATAAAAGTTTGACTTTGTTTGTTGCAGTATTAAGTATGTATGTTCAGAATCATCCATCAAATTGCACTATTCATTGTGAAATTTAAGAAATATTGAGAAATAAAAATGTATTATTGTAAAAATCCTCCTATAGATTTGGATTGATCTGATGGAAAACGATTATTGTTGTCATGCCATCAAACCTCAAATAAGTTTGAAATTGTCGAAGTGACAGACACAGCGTTACTGTCATTTTCGATTCAGTGGAAATGCCACAATGTGATCAAAAACTTCTAGCTATAGGGATTCGATACAGATGCGTTATTACCAACGAATTCTTGAGAAAGGTATGAGAAGCTATACATGCGTTTTATTGAATGGTGCAACAATAATGAAATGAAAATACCGAATGAAGAATAGGTATATTTTTGTCTTATTTCATAGAAGTGTCTGAAACCTAGACACCAAACTCCTTATGGGCCTGCTGGCTTCCGCAATGAACCAACATAATGCGTCAAACTGTAAGTTCACAATAGCTATTACTAATAATTAGTAGATAGAGAATATATTTCCCTTGTTAGCTGTTCCTATTTGCATGAATAATTAATTGAACGAATCAATCAATTTCCTACGCTTGTAGAAAAAATATTGTTCCTAACTCATGCGGAAAGCGTCTTTCCCGCACTCGACTGCTTGCCCGAACTCCGCTTTGCGTCGTTCGTGTCAATGGCAGTCGCGTGCGGGACAGAATAACTTTCCGCACTTGTTAGGAAAATTACTATTCCGATAATTCCCTATACCTATCTGTAACATATCTCCCAGGAAGAAATCTTTTCTTCGCCAAACGTACCTAACTTCTAACCTAACCTGCTTTCTAAATATTTATTCTCCAGAAACATTTTTCTAGAGATCATTTTATGGGGGATTTTTTTCCAGAGAAAAATCATTCCACAAAGAATGTTTTCCAGAGATAGTATTTCCTGGAGGTTTTTTCCTGACGAATATATTCAAAAAGGATTTGTGGCGGATACCATTGTACACCAGATTGCTCAATTGAGACGTGAGGTCAGAGTTGGTAGAACTGATGAATATACTTCTTATTTTCATGTCATCATCAAAAGAACGCAAGTCTGCTCAAGAATTTTCATAACTTGAGTTCTTCTTACCTTTTTTGAATAGGGCACATCATGTGTTTGCACACGGACGAAAAAACGGGAAAATTGCTCCGTCAAACACAGCAAAATGGGCCTACCTGGCTAATACTCCTTCCAGAGTCCTTTCCATTTACTGCTTGGTTGCAACCACCTTTTTTTCTCTTGGAGGAGGGATGCTGGTTCAAATGGCTCGCAGTGGTAGTTTTATCTTGTCAGAGGTATCACTTTATTGCCGGCAAAATGCGATCGAAAGAGCAGTGCAATCTATCAACGTGTTCTGATCACTGATAGCACATGAGTGAGTAAATGAAAAATAGGAGAGCGCACTATCATTCTTGACTCTTCTCGATAGGTACCACATCAAGCTGATATTTTGACAGAGCATATAGTCGCGAAGTGAATTACACTAGACGCACAAAATTAGAAGCAAATATAAGAACTGAAAATTGATTTGATAAAGTATATTTGAATGAATTATTCTCAATATATCAAGCTACGACAAAAAACATATTGAAAAGAAAAAATATATAAAAATTAATAATATATTATCTCATTTATATATATTCTATTACTAAGACTAAACATACCCCACCCCAAAATACCTTGTATTTTAACAAGATTTGTTATAATTACATGGTAAAGGGCACAATTTCACTAAGGGTCTCTGGAAGATCCCTTGTGGTGTACGAACGGTCGCGACTCGAACAATTCCATCAGGTCCCGGATGAGTTTTTGTTACCCTGCCTAAACGCCAATGTAATGGAGGCGTGGCTTCATTTTTTATGAGCACAAGCTCACCAACTTGTACGGACCTATCATTTTTCAACCACTTTTGTCTCTGCTGGAGAGTGTGCAGATACTCATCCCGCCACCGCTTCCAAATATCTTGATGAAGCCTCTGTATCAATTGCCAGCGATTTAAATGATTCATTTTGAGATGTGAAAGATCAGGGTCAGGCACTGAAGTTAGAGGCTCAAGCGTCAGAAAGTGACCAGGTGTCAATACTGATAAGTCATTGGGATCTGAACTCTGGGGGCATAATGGACGAGAGTTAAGGACAGCTTCGATTTGCACTAATAGAGTATAGAACTCTTCATACGATAAAATTTGGGTACCAACCACCCTGTATATGTGCGATTTAACTGACTTTATACCAGCTTCACTTAAACCGTTGAAATGGGGCGATGCTGGAGCATTAAAGTGAAAAGACAAGTTTTCCTGTTGGGCAGCGGTTTGCATATGCTCAGACAGAACTCGGTGAGCACCCACAAAGTTAGTTCCACAATCAGAGGTTATTCGGGAGCAGCGCCCGCGGCGGCCTATAAATCGGCGCAAAGCAGCGAGAAAGGCGTCAGTCGAGAGATCTGACGCTAATTCCAAATGGATTGCCTTGGTAGCAAAGCAGATGAATAGGCAAATATATGCCTTTTGAGATCTGATTCCCCTTCCCTTACCTAAGGTTATATTGAAAGGGCCACCAAAGTCCACACCGACACATTGAAAAGGCTTAAGCTGACTTACTCGTAGAGCGGGCAAGTTTCCCATAAACGGTTCGAGAGGGATGGGTTTGACCTTGAAACATTTCAAACAATTTGACAAAACATGCCTTATGGCTCGTTTAGGTGACAGTATCCAGAAATTTTGGGATATTAAATGCTGGAGTGTTTGAAGTCCAGGGTGGAAATTTTCTCGATGAACACTCTCAATAATGAGGTCAGTGAGACGATGTTTTCGAGGGAGGAGAGCAGGGTGCTTGCGCTCGTATGATAAACCCGAGTGTTGGAGTCGACCTCCTACTCTTAGGAGACCATCGTCTCCAAGAAAAGGGTTCAATTTTCGAATGGGCTTTGATAAGGGAACGTGATTGTGAATATTCAAGATTTCTTCAGTGAAAGAAGTGTATTGAACCCGCTTCACAAGTACCAGCAACCCTTGATGTAATTCCTCTTGCGTGAATTTGTCACTATTTTTCGTGGTGGGGTGTTTTATATTGTGAATAAACCGGCAGCAGTATGCAATTATTCGTTTTATTTTGTTTAGAGAAGAGTATTTTTCTAAAAGAATATCCAAAGAATCTAAGGTGAGGAAGGTACTGAGACTTATTGTTTTTTCTTCTAACGTGGTGGAGGGAGGAACCATATTGAGATAAATTGACCATTTTTCTTGAGGTTTGCTCAAGAAAGGGGGACCTACAAACCATTGGGAATGTTGAACTAAATCAATCGGTAGGAGACCTCGAGAGGCGCAGTCGGCAGGATTTTCTGTACTCGGCACGTGATACCATATATTAGGTGATGTTTTATCTTGTATGTGGCTAACCCGATTGCTCACAAATGATTTCCATCGGTGAGGTGACGATCGGATCCAATATAGAGCAACCATTGAGTCTGTCCATGCGAATATTCGCGAAAACTTTATTTTACTAGA